ACATATATACATATACACACTCTTATATACCGCACACGTCGTCATGTGAGTGTGCGATTTTAATGTAAAACGCGTCCGTGTATAATATAATATATATTATAAAAGACATTCGCGCATAATGCGTGTACGGGCTGTAGTAACCCGTCGTACCCCAACCACCTACCCACCCGCCCTCCGACACCCACCATGTAGTCGTCGACCCCGCGCTCGCATATTATTCGAATCCGATCGGAGCGTGATTGATGCTGTACACGCACAGATCTCATTTACCCGAAAAGGGCTCTCACCCTCTCTCTCTCTCTCACACACCCTCTCTGCGTTTCACCCTCTCTCTCTCTCTCACGCCCTCTCAGCGTGTCTCTCTCTCTGGCACACACTCTCTCGTCGTGAGCTCGCTGCAAAGTGTTTTGACGGTTGCGCTCGTTTCCTGCCCATTGTCGATGTGCACACACATACACTTACAATCTCGGAGACTTGTGTGTGTGTGTGTGTGTGTGGTGTTCGCAATCTTCGGCCGCATTGTGTGGGCTGCGGGCGGAGCAAATGGCCCGGAAAAACTGTTGCCCGCCTCGTGGCGGATCGCAAACGACGAGGATTACGCGTCGAAGCGTCGAATATTGTGTCGCCGCGTAGGTATAGGTGCAGTGATGGTGGGAGGGTGTGAAAATCGTCCTGTTATTATTTTTTTTATTTTTTATTTTTTATATTTTCACCGCCTCGAAGAGGGTCGTCGAGTCTTATCGCGCCGTCGGTCCGCGGGCCTGACATCGAAACTCATATTTCCATATAATAATAATAATATAAAGTCTAAGCGGCGTTCGGTAATGGCTCATAATATTACACCATGTGATATATCGGCGCATCGACAGTTTTTCATATTATTAAGCGCATAAGCTTAATGTTCCAAAACGTGCCTATCGGGGTATATTATATTGTACGTTATAGCAGCCTGCAAGCAGGAAATCGCCTATTATGAGTACCTTACCAGCACGGACGTTTGTTGCTATCGATTATATTAATATATCCCCTCCCCTCCCCCCTTTAATAAGGATATCGAAACCTTTCGCCAAACCTAATCTCTGCGCACGAATGATTAATTAATTAGAAAGAAAACCGCAGTGAATAAAATATTATTATGATAATAATTAATCGCAATGGAATCAGTGTGCAGTCCGGATTAACAAATAGTAATCTGTACTGAACCCGTCAATCTAGATTAAATCGTTATTCCGAGTTCATAATAATATATTATTTATATTTCAATAGGTAGGCGAATTATGTTGATAAAACGATATTCTGTTCGGGTTTAATCAATCGGATTTAAACTGTCAGTTCAGGTTTAATATTTACGTTTGTCTGGCGTGTCGCTGAAATAACATCCATAACAACAATATAATAGTTTATTACACTCAAATCCCGACACTGTGTCACTGAATGTGATAGTGCATACATGTTACCAAAATATATTGTTGATAATATACACATATTATGTACTCGTAGAAGTATAATATCACGGGTTATTGTAAACGATGTATAAGTATGAGATAAAACTAAATGTAAAATGCATTTTGACACGATAATTATTATTACACGGCGAGTAAAGCGATTAAAATGATTATAGTATAAATACTAATGGAATTCACAATGTTATAATATAGAACGAACATTTTAATTTGATAACTTTAAGCTTTTAAGTACGTTTTATAATAATTTCATTTTTGATATAAATACAATAAGTCTTCCACAATTTCGCGGATGTTTGCCGGGATATGACGTGTCCTTTGGACGAAAAAAAAATGATGTAATGGATACACCCTCGAGCGAACGTCACAATAAATCAACATTAATGAATGTGCTAAAATACTGAAATTATTATCAAATAGTTGAACTGAATAAAGTCACGATCAATTTTGAAACTGTAAATTGTTTGAAAATGCACAATGGCATGCAAACCTTTAGCCTTCAAACAAAATAGCTATTAAAGCTATGCACAGTTTTCATTTACCGCAGTCACGGTAACACAAACCAAATAGGTACCTACTGTGCATAGGGAAATAAAACTAGATACCTACTTAATAATCCGTTTGAAATATTACTTTGTAAAAGTGTGACAGCTAATAAAATTGCGAAATTAGATATTAAATAATATTCCATACCGCTGATAAAGCTAAATGTTCAAAACGAAAAATGGTTTATTCTACGATTCATATATTAGATACTTTAACACTAAAATAGTAAAATATGATAAAATACTTCTTTGATCGTTAAGTAAAATATGTCAGGTACCAAAAGTTGACATGCATATTATATAATACCATACTTAAATTATACGTTAAGACATATAATAATTGACAACTTGAAAATGCAAAACAATTTGCATAAATTCATATTTAAATCGCGAATTAAAAAAAGGTCCAAGAAATTATAAGGTACCCAGAAGTAATTATTAAACTGCTTATAAAATCATTTTTTTACATGGTTATTAAAAAATGATTTCCTGGTAATTATAATAAAATATGTTTGAAACAATGTTCCGGTCGCCTTTTTCAGAAACTCAATTTTCGTATACAATATAAGTATCGCAAAGTTTTTGTCCGTGCAGTTGTGTTTGCGATACCTTATTAATGATAATAATATTATAGTGATTTATATTCGTCGAATCAAATGCGATAATAAATATGAAAACCTATACTTTAATATTGTACAGTTGCCAGCAAGACTCTCACTCGTGTGTGTAGTACGATCGCACGAAAACGACTTAGATGCAACACATTTTCATTTTTACCAACCCATTATAATATTACTATACAATATTATCGTATCTATATAGGCGTAGGTATATAATAATATATAAAATTATTGTCTTCGTCGACGGTGGTGTAATCGAGTACACTTTATGGTGTCGATTTAATCGAAAGGATACCTGATCCTTTGAGGGCCGTCTGCGCACTCGAGCCGACCAATGCTTATAACAATATATAGGTAAATATATATATATAACTTGTACACATAATATTATTATTGTATACATTATTACACTTGTCTAGCGCGTCTTCGCGTGATATTTATTTTTTATTTTTTACGACCTTACGATAATATTATAATACGTACCTATATACAGAACTGGCGTTATCATAATTTATCGTTGCAGTGCTCGTACAACAAAATATCATATACATAAAATAATATTTCACTTTCTCGAATTAAAACGTTGAAGGCCGCAGCGCGGTGCCGTCCGCGGGCGTCGGACGATTGTTTGCCCACTCGCGCTAACCCATCGCCGCCGGTCGTTTATCGCGATGTAAGATATCGCCGTATAATAACAATGGCCGAGCTGCTCCTCTCCAAAGGGTTCGCGTGCTTGACCGCGACCGTGGTATACGGTGTGCGTGTGCCCATCCGATTTTCCGGTAAGCGAAATATACGCCCACCCCGCAGTGTGCTGCTATTATAATATTATATACATAGTCGGTGTGGTCGTCGCTATTGTTGTTGTTGTTGTTTTCGTCGTCGTTTTCAGTTTTCCCCGTCCTGACCTATATATATTTTTTCCTTTGCACATCTCGTGTCGGATGACTTTCGGAAAATTAACGTATACCTAAACACACACCAAACGCCCAAAACATATTATGCGCCCCGCTGCAGCAGGGTCCGTTTGACTGCGGCACACACACGATTTCGTGCTTGGGGTGAAAAAAAAACATTCACAGGTTACCATTATAATATTACTTACCTTTGCGTGTAATTATAGGTGTATAATAGCACTTTTTTCATTTTTTTTTTTTTTTGTTTTTACCCGAAATAGGCACGCCGATTTTCGGGTTGTACGTTCTCTCAAACGTAAGTACTCTTCCAAGTAATAATAATTTCGTTCACAGCGACACGCGACCGTAGATATTTTTTTCATTTCCCGGAGTTCCGAAAAAATGTCTACTTCCACGAACTTTGCAACGAAAATTGAACTTCACTCAACCCTCATTACAACACTATATAACTAGCTTTTCGTGTTTGTCTTTTGGTTGCGCAACGTTTCCCCACAATGTTTTGGACTTTAAACTTTGTCTTGAGAGTACACATAAGAAGTAAACCACCTCTAATTTCACGCGAACCGAACAGACTTACTGTAACATTACGTCATATTATATAGTTGTCCAACAATTTTCCTCATATTCACCTTAGGTAATATCTTGTCAGAAATCGATACATGCATTGAACAAAAAACCTTCAAAAATGACTTTTCCAGAATAGCAAAAAAAAAAATAATAGTGAAAATGTTTTTAGTGTACCCACTAAATAAATTATAGTTTTGAGTAAACTTGGTCACACTCCCAACGTTGATTTCTATTATCAACTCTTTTGTTCGTCGGGTGCACTGAAGGCGCCAAAATTTCAAAAATTTAAATTCTCTCTATTTGATTATGAACGACGTATCTTGACGATTGGTATCAATAGCGTTAATTATAACATTTACCTAAAGATATATGACTACGGTTTTGACGACGATCGAAATCGATTGCGATAGAAGAGCTATATAATAACAAAATATTATATTATGTCTTCCCAAAACTCGTTATTTTTTCATATCGAAATATTCCCTTTTTACACTACACGTGAGCGAGTCCGTTTCGATAAAGCACTGCAACGAGAACTTTCGTGTATCGTATAATAATATATAACTCATCTCGTACAACGACAATGGATCTCTAGCGAGATATAGGTACACTCGGAAACGTGTAGTCTTTCCGAGCATATATATATATACGACGACCACTATACAATAACGATATAATGAGGTGGGGCGAAGAGAATAACAGCAGTCCTCGTTCATATTTTATATCGCCACACAGCTCGCAATGTTTACCGTCGGCACGTTTCGGGCGTGTAATAGAATTAGCCGCTGTGTATTATTATATTATATTATTATTTTCGCCAAAAAAAAAACGGTGAGGGAGCTTGTGAGGCTGAGCAGCGTACGCTGTTTTTCACTGTCGCCTCGTAATATGATTGAATTCTCTTGCGCTTTATCTCGGCTCCGCACCCTTCCGCCGGCCAGAGGAGACGCCAACTGTTTCCGAACTCGAAAGATCCCAACAAAAGACGTCGGGGAGAGAGGATTGCTCGCTGCAGACTTAGGTGTCTCGCTGCAGACCCTCCGGATGTCTGGCGTGCAGGGCGCACCGGGAAAAAAGAAACCTCTGTGTGGGGGAAAGTTCTCGAACAATGGATCGCGCGGTAATCTGGTGAAATGGGAAACTTACAGTATGTGTCGAAAAAAATAAACCATACACATAATATACAAAGAATTTCATATACACATATATACATACTGCAGAGACACGCGTAAATATATAATATAGTTATATATATTGTAAATATATAGCTGCAGTTGGTCGATTTGTAAATACACAGACTGTATATACCCGCCGGAAAATCCCACAACGAGCTGCTCGCTCCACCCTCGGCACTAAGAATTTTAATAAACACTGAACGACGACAACCCTCCGCCCGCGTACCTACTGCGGGGTACGGCGTGACGGCGCATTGGCTCGAGGGTTTCGACCTTCGCCGGAGTAAGGGGATATTATATACGCTGGGGAAATCGTTAAAAAAGAATGTAAACACATTAAGTTCTTCTGCACGGGGCCGAGGAGATGAGAGAGGCAGCGGGTACCGAGCGCGATGATATCCCACTCAGGAGTTTCACCTCGAGTGGTTGAGACTTGAGAGTGGTAATCGAAGCTTTTCCGCCCTTCGTGTTTTACAGTGTAAGACGATATTCAAAAAATTGTTTCCTCGTCGAATGGTTTCGTCACAGGCAAACAATCTATCTTGCGTATGTTTATGCAAATGTTCATGTCATTACTCGAAAACTGATAGTACTCCCGATAAAAAAAATACATATACAATAACATAATATGTACTTATACTTATCACGTGTATTGTTATATTTCATATAAATATGTATGGATGTTATGGTGAATAATAAGCCGCTTGGATTCAATTTTTAAAAACATATTTCACCCAATATGTATAGATGATCATGCATCGCAATCAGGTCAACAAATACATAGACAATTTTACCTTTATTTATTCGTTTTAATTTTTTTTTTTTTTTATTATTGAGCAAAGGTTTCGACGTCTATTAGCCTGAAGTAACCTTTTTTTGTAGGCGTTTAACTGTGGGGTAGAGTACGGTTGGTTAGCACATGTGTACATGTAGTGTAGATTTGTCACTAAAACCAGGGAAATACTGACACCGGCTGATACTTGATTTCAGAACACGTTTGTGACTAAGCAAACCACTTGGCCACATCAGGCCACATTTATTTATTTATTATATTTAAACTGTGTCTACACGTCATATCATATGTTATTACAAGTTATTACAACTTACAAGTTTGTTAACTTTTATGATGCTAGTACGTTGTACATAAATAAAATATTATATTATATATACAATTTGCAAATATGTGTCTTCTAATTAGTGAAAATAAATATTGGATTAAACAATACATAAGATAAAGTTTGTGTACAGCTGCTCGTCGTTGTAAGAGATTTTTTCAGTATATTGTACATCTACTGAATTTTGTGTGCTTTCATATAATTTTATTATTTTATTATATTAATAGTATAAGTGTTATATTAGTTATAACGAATTTTGGTCGGATACAATATTACTTTCGAAAGTCAGAGATATTTTTGTTTGTTCTGAATTACATATAATATATATTATTATTATATAAAAACATATATTTGCCATTCTATTTCATGTTTTTCAAAATATTATAATTTTTATTAAACAAAGTGCAAAATGTATTTTTAATTATTCGTACTATTTAAAAATATGAGGTACAGATTGGTAGGTAAAAAAAATTAAAAGTTTGGTTATTAGTTTTTAAAATATATTCGCAGAATTATGAACTATAAAATGTCAAACAAAATTATACTATATAATTCATACAAAATGTATTTTATTATTATAATATATTTGTGGCTATAGTACTTGATGAAAATTTATTATTTTTGTTTTAATTTGTTAAAAATAAAAAATGATTTCTACAAGTTGGGTACCTGTCTTATATCTCATATATTTTTTTTAAAACGTGAATAATTAAATGTAACAAAATCGATACAGCTAGATATTCAATTCATGAAAAACTGATTTCAATATTTGAGTTTGAATAAAAGTTAACGATGGGTAATAATGAGGTATTTTACAAACTTATTTTACTACGAAAAATGGTCAAACAAATCATAATAAAAAAAAAATGATTTACCCATTTCTAACATATTGTGTTAATATTCTCAACGCACATTATCATCAAGGTTGGCTGCTTACAAAAGTTCCATGACGTATCGAAGTTATATATTTTGCAATTAGTACCAGTTAACTTGTAATGAGTAACATAATTTTAAAGCATAACAAGTTACAAATTGTATTGTGACTCTAAACGAAAGATACCTACACAAAGTTTCATTTAAATGGGCAAGAATCAACAATATGATTTATGTTTACGTATTGACATTTTGTAACCGATGTCTTAATAATTTTCCCTGTCGTATTATTTTGTATTACAATTGACAACTTCTCACACATTTATAAATTGCAAATTTTTCTCACGATCACCTCATACAAACAAAATAGGTATTGTGTATAACGCGTTAATGTCATTAATTTGTCGAAAAAAAATAAACATAAAATATATCGTCAGACATTAAGTAACTTGTAATATTTTAAATGTTACCAAGTCGCTGTAGCTGGTATATAACTCGTAACCTGCAGTTACGACCGTAATAACTTGAATCGAGTAACACAATAGTGACGGACACTGATTGTCATATGATGTGTAGGAGGTACCTACTTATCGAACTCTCATATTTTTCGAGGGGTTACATTAGAATCCGAAAATATAAATTTGCTTCACATTATTACTTCTCGCAACACACGCACGTGTTGTGCAAGACATTATATTATTATTATCATCATCATGTGTTTGATTCGATGCGACGACCACAAAAAGAAGTCGATCAGATAACGTGTCAATAATAATAATAATAATGCGTGTACAATAGTACCTAAGGCGTCGTGTAGGTTTATATTGATGTCGGTTCAGATGTTCTGTCACGAACCCTTCTTAACCCGATTCCCGAATAAAGTGCACGTGGTCCGTCCGTCCGCCCCTCTCGGACCCGAATCCAAAACCTTTACACAATGCGTCGATTGAAAATGAATTGCGTTCGTTTGGGGTACGGGTCCTGCAGATCGTACTGTGCCCGTAGACTACGCCTTCGACCGATCTTAGAGATTTGGACGTCACGGGGCACAATGTCAACATTATAAAATATTAAAATGTATGTCCTCCGGAATCCGATACAGTCGAGTACAATGATTCAACGACGTGTCGGGTCGCGTTTTTCCGTTTCCGTCAATATACAGCACTGCGTATAATAATAATAATAATAATATAAGAGATAGGTTTTGTATCAGTGGCGGTTCAGGGGGGGCAAAAGTGACATCCCCTCCAAATGAAGCCTTTGATCTACCACGAGAATACTGTCGAACCGACCAATCCGAAATAATAATATAATTATTATATTTCCAGAGTCCTGCTGCAGTTTCGCGGTCTGTAATATTCGACGAGGCTGCGAAATGTTCTTTTCCCGTCGAGTAAATCAATTTAATAGTGCTCGCACGCTGACTTTATTTGTTTATTTTTTCTCCAATTGTCTGCCTGACAACAATGTAGGTATTGTAATACAATATTTTTCGAACATGCCGCACAGGGTTTTGCTTAATATCGTATTCGATTTGTCTCCGAATGTTTACGATGGGTACAGACTTTTGTTACGTTATTTCTAGTACGTTTGTTTCGAATTTCATAAATTGCATATATTTTTCGTCGTAAATTTCGTTCAGCTCTGGTTCGTGCGGTATTGATGGTTTTTATTGCTACATCCCTCCCCTGTGTGCACCGAAAACTGTATAGAAAGGAGATAAAACTCAAATTTTGTCAGTGTATATTATGTTTTTCTACGTCAATAACATTGTCAAAGCATTAGAGAATCGCAGATATCGTCGTGTCCAGTTAAGTGTAAACATATGACGAAGTATATTTAAATACAATTATTAAATACGATATTAATATCTATAGTCATCTGGATGTAATTCGAATGTTCAAATCGGCTGTGGTGCAGAGAATACATTTGACAAGTACCTATAATATTGTGTAAAATAAAAACGGAATTTTCGTGAAGTTTGAGTGGTTAAAAGTGAAAACCGTCACTGTTTCTTTTTCGGTACATAATTTCAGATAAACAATAGCCTTTGATCTGGTCTCCGAACGGTCTCCGAACATTAATTAATACTTTGACCCTCTCTTTAAGTAAACATAAATGAACTCCCATATTACGAAATTAAATCTCTGAATTATCAAAATGTATAGGTCATGGTGTACGTTATTATTGTAATACGCGAATATTATTAATATAATAATATATAGTACAGTGATCTATCGTTAAATCTTAACGCGTTTCGAAAAGGCGGTGGTTTAAGGTTTTGCGATTATAAATTAAAGCATCGTCGGCGAAACCGTTCCCAAAAATCGCAACTGCGGTTCGTTCTTTCGTTAGTGAAAATACAGGAATGAGCATGGTACCCATATGTATACTCGTATATGACCTGCGACGAATATCTGTGAAGCTCTTCGCCCGCCCAGACACGTGGGGCCGAAAACCACAATAATAACAATAATATTTGTTCGTAAAATAATTCGCCGCCAGACGGTTATTCCGCGATAATAATAATGACAGTATAAAACCTCACTATTGTATGCGTGAACGCGAGCGGCGGACGTCGTTGTCGGTCGTCGGACATGTCGTCGTCGACGGGGCTGCGGGAGACGTTTAATTTTGTCGTGCCCGAAACGGAAGTGTCGGCTTCACATGCGCGCGGCTTCTGACGCGAGTTGTTCTTAACTATCCCGAAGTTATGCTTTGATCCCTTTGCTCTCCGCACAAATTTTCACTCGGATTAACAATAATAATATACAAGCCCCCGGTTCGCCGCCGGAACTCCGTTTAAACTATTTCTTTGATCGTGCAATTCGCTCGGTTGATATTTTTCGGGCGGGTGAAGCCGCCGCGACGGGAGCGGAAAAAATAAATAAACGAATATATATATATATATGTATATAGTGCTTGTATATGCGACTCCGGAGACTTATTATACGCATTTGTACTTCGAAACTCGCGAGCGTGACTTAATTTGGCCAACAGCTAA